AAAAAAAATAAAAAAAATCAAAATGTCAAAAAAAAAACAATTTGGCCCGGTTTGGCCCAGGCCCAAGGCTCAGCCCATAGCCCAGCCTGACATATGTCAGGCCCACTACAAGGCCCACAACCCACCCGACCAGACATGGACCCACATGAACTTGGGCCATGAACTACGCCAGACCGACCCTCCAAAGTATCCAAAAAAAAAAAAGCACAGTCTGAACTACACTTTCCACTTGTGGCCCAATTTACACCTCTAAATTCATATTGGCCTGTATGTCTCTGACTTTGCCTATATCTAAATAAAATCAATCATAACAATAGATGTTAGATGGATAGTCCATCCACTTCTAACACCACAAACCGGATAAGAATGGCTAGTTAGACATGTATAATTGATAAGATAATGTTTGAATTGTGCTTAGATTGTTTTAATTAAATTAAAAAACGTCATAAGGCTTACTAATGCCTTTTGACTTAACAAAGCCTCTGTATCACGAGTCTCAAATGGTATAAAGCAATGATAACATTAGATGACCATTACTAATCTAACAGGTACCACAATCACCTCAACTCACGCACTCATATCATAGACTCGTAAATTTTTTTATTTTTCCATTGTTCATATGGACTAAAATCTTCCGCCTCTAAGTTCAAATGTACTACTGCCACAGTACATCGCACAAGTCCCAACACTGTTTCACTAACCCATTATTGTCACGAAGGTTTTAAAAATGGGAAAAAGACGGTTCAGCCCAGGGTAAGAATTAACAGACCGAGTACTGTGTCAGTTTGAAATTGATGCTAATTAACATATGGGCATTGGTGCATAGAGTATTGGTTGTTACCATTTTGAATGTTTATAGTTCTGTAGTAGAAATTAGAAATTTGCATTGGACCTGCCTGGACATCTTTATTTAAAAATTAGACCTGACATAGGAGACGGGTTCCTAAGTCAAACAATTCGATCATTTGGTTCAAGTGGACAATCCATTCTAACTTAAAAAATAAAATAAATATGGTCAAAACCATTTGGGTTGATGGTTCAATCACCTGCGACAGTGGGTTGTTGACTAAATTAACGGTTTTTTGTCAAAAAAGCGATTTTAGAGTGAAATGGAATTGGTTACCTGATTAATTCCTAGGTCAACCAATCCGACCATTTGGTCAGATCCGGTTTTCAAAACCATGATAATCACTAGGAGTGGATTCAAGCTTGGCTCGCCAATGTATTATAGGGCTCGAGCTCAAGCTTGTGCTCGGTTCGAGCTAGAACCTTGAGCTCGAGCTCAGCTCAAGTAAAAAACTCATAAGCTCGAGCTTGGCTCAGTGTAAGCTCGATTTGAGAAAAAAAATATATATATATATATATAATATTATTTATTTAATATTAAAAAAATAAGAATTAAAATAATTAAAATTATAATATTTTAATTATATATTTTATTTTCTCTCTCTCTATATATATATTCGAGCTCAACTCACGAGTCTCACGAACCGAGCTCTATTAGGCTTCAGCTCGGCTCGTTTATTAATCGAGCCTATAAATTGAGCTCAAGCTCAACTCGAAGCTCGGTTGAAACCGAGCCGAGCCGAGCTCAAGTAGATCATGAAGAACTCGGCTCGTGGTCACCCCTAATAGTCACACATTGAGAACATCGCCTCATAAATGAGGAGAGATATTTTTGAATAAGGTTTTTAAAATCGAATTGATAATGAACCAGTTAGGGGTCCAGTTCTCGGGTTGAACGGCCCAATCGTTCGGACCGAACGAGTGTCCTATTCAGACAAAAAATAAAAATTTTAAAAAATAAAAAACGACCAAACTGTTGAAGGGTTCGACTGCCCGAGTCAATGGTTTGCTAACCAAATCAATGGTTTTTGGCAAAATAAAAGTTTTTTGGTAAGATGGAAGGTTCCCGGTTTTTTCGTTCAGACCGTTTGGTCCGATCCAATTTTGAAAACCATGTTTTCAATATACGGCTCTAGTGGATGTTGAGACAATGTTGAGAGTACTTTGTTGGTATCAGATCCCCCATCAACGAGTCCTACCAACAAATGTATTCCAACAACCTACCAATATAATCTCACCCTGCATCTTTCATACATTATGGGTCCCAGTCTCTTGATGACATGCACTATGTTAAATCAAGTTGATAGGATCTCTTGCCCACACAAACTCTATTCACGTCTTCCTACATTACACCACAGCCATGCATGAAGAACACATCTCATCCTCCTACATAGTATTATGCAAGGGGAGATGTTCCCTATTCATGGGGGTAATGCGTTATGGGTGGATTAACTTTGGCTGTTGGGGGTTTACTGTTGAGAGAATTTATGGATTAGGCACGTTCATAGCAGTTCACCAATTCATGGCCATACTTTTGTTTTTACTCAAAATAAATAAAAAGGCAATTACTAGTTTGCCCACAATTGATAACGTGCCCAACCCAGAAACACGGCTGTTCAGCCAAAGTTTTTCCGTTATGGGTAGACGTGGGCAAGAGATCAGGAATCGTTAATACGGATTAACTTTGGCTATTGGGATTTCTGGGCTGAACACGTTTTAGATAGTTCACTATTCAATCTCGTTTTTAGTCAAAATAAATTAAAATATAATTACTAATTTATCCACTCTCATGGTAACGTGCCCCTAACAGCTAAAGTTTTTCCCATCACAGAACAACAGCCTATCGAGAAATTCGGGATTGGATGTCCAAATCCTCACGGCACGGAATTCTTGTTCAAATAACAACCATCTGTCATTGCCCCGCGTGAAGACTTCAGATCTGACCTACTTTTTTTACCTTCACGTTTTTTTTTTTTTTTTATTCACTTCAATTTCGAATGTGACAAGTGTTTCCTTTACTTTAACACATTACACATGTGACAAATTTCCCTCCATATAACGCCTGTCACTAAAGCTACTTGCGTTTGGTTTGAAAGAAAAAGATAGAAAAAAAAAAGAAAAAGGTATAGAAACCTATAACCATGGTTTTCAAACCATCCGTCCGACCGTTCAGCCTAAAAACCGATTGGACATGTGAAATACATATTCAATTTCAATTCACTATATACTTAGATATCTATGTTGAACCTAATTAATTCACATCAAAGCTTGTAAATTTGTATAATGTCCGCAACATATATTCAAAGTAAAATGTAAAACCACTGATGATGATTGTTCAGTTCATAAGTTTTTTTTGGCTAATTGTAACCGAAACTTGGGATCAAATCCCCTTACCACCAAGGTGTGTTGGTAGGGATACAAATGGATCGAATCCGATAAAAATCCATTGGATTTTCAAGAGCATAATTCGAATTTGAATATATTATTGGATATTCTATTTGAATTCAGTTCGATTAAAATCATATTTACATTATGTAATATAAATAATATAATATATATAATATTTCATAATTAATGAACCGGATCGGATCGGATCAGCCAGTTTTCAAGTTTGATTAATTCAGTTAACAAACCGGCTTTTCTGATCCGATCCAACTTACTAAGATCATGATCATGGGGGATATTCGAATACGCCTCTTAACTGATTGATATCGGATTAGGATCAAATCTGATCCGATTTATTTGCAGCCCTATGGGGGTTATGGGGATGGGGATGGGCCAGCCCCTCTCCCTTTAGCCACATGAGGCAAATGCATACACACAAATTAGATTAAAGCCAATAAATTTGCAACCCTACATTAGGAGTGTCAATGGAATTAGTTTTTTTGGTGTGAGTTTTATGAATAGATTAAAACCATCTGGTTTGAAAATAAATTGTTTCTTAACATAAAAACATGAAAATATGTTATTGGTTGTAAATGTGTTCTTAGTGTTTAAAATTAAGGCAAAAATCATGTTGTTTAAATTTTTGATGTGATAATTTCAAAAGCAAATTGAAACAAAAAATATTCACATCGTCAGACACCCCCCTAATTATATTATAGGGTTTGCATCTGGATTTTGTATCCTGATTATAAATGGATTGGAAAATTTTATAGTATGCTATTATGCTATATCAAAATTTTAATCAATAATGTTAAAAACATCACGTGGTCTATTTATTTTTTATTGGTTTATATTTCATAATATATATTTATTAATTCTCTATTCTTGTTTAAATTATGTTGCAACAATTTCTATAAAATGCACCATAAATTTTGTCTTCCATATATATATATATATATATATATATTTTATGTATAAATCCAACACCCATGATGAGTATAGGCTGGTTTCCATTCTCGTCCCAAAACAACTCCTCTCAAATCTAGAGACTAGGGTTGTAATGGGTCAGGTGACTCGGGTCTACCAGATAGAACTGAACCAACCAAATCTAGTATGTCAATTCTGGTTTTAGGAGTTTGTTCCGATTAATAATCGAGTCTCTTCTCTTTCTTTCTTGTTCCAAACTGATACAGGTCCGAACCAATTATTTTGCTAATAACATATAGAGGTTTCCTTGTTTTTTCATAATATAGAGATTTTCTATTTGACATATAAACATAGTTAAAAACACTTGATTTATTAATATATAAATAATTTACTAATTTACTGTCACTTTTATTAAAATTATATTATGAAAAATAAAGTTATAACTTTGTTATTATAAATAATTATATATGATTGGTGGGATGGTTCTGGTTTATGATTTTGTCCCGATACTCGATTAATAACGGGTTCGGGATTGGGACACCTTGCCTCGACCCATTGGCAGCCCAATAATCAAGTCCGAGTCTTTTCACATTTATACCCTGCATATAAGTGTAAATGACAATGACATTCATTGGTGACGTAGAAAGAGAGAATTAGTAGAAGTTGAACTGTTGAAGCAACCGTATAACGAATTAACGACCACCACATCTCTATCCTCTCCTGACTCCGCTCTAACTATAAACATGAAAACATAGGATAAAAAACATATATTTTAATTAATAAAATATAAAATTTAATAGAACATATGAATCTGATATATATAGACCACAAATGATGACCTTCCGCTTCATTCGCTCTCTTCTGCGCGTCATCCAGACGGCAAAAAACAAAAGACGAATAATAAGTGGAATAAAAGAACCCTAGGCTTTCTGCAGAAAACAATGGAAGCGGAGGCAAGCGGGCTCAAGAAACAGCAGCTACACACCAAGCTCAATGGACCAACGAATTCCATGGTTACGCCCCTCCTTACAGATCTCTATCAGTTCACCATGGCTTATGCTTACTGGAAAGCCCGCAAGCATCTCGAACGAGCTGTGTACGTTGTCCTCCATTATTTTTGTTTCCTCTCCCTGAATTTCATTTTGCTGTCCTTTTATTTCCTTTCGTTGAGTTTCATTTCTTCATTGATTATTTGATTCCTTTTTTGTTTCCTGTTCAATTCGGATGGACTTGGTATTTTAAATTTTATTGTTAGAGTTGGCTGTAGAAGGGTAGTATTACTGCTCTGCTGATGTGACTCTCATTTAAGTGAGGGTACAATGGTAATCCTTGTATATTTTAGAAGAGTATAAATAAAAGAAGGGCCGATTAGAGATTTTGAGATTTTACTCGCTACTTCGGCTGTGACTTTTCTCTTTCTTTTTTTTTTCTCTTTTTCCTTCTCCTTCTCTCTCTCTTTTCCTTCTCTTTCTTCTGATTTGAACATATACGAACATCTAATCTGAGTTTTATCATGGTATCAGAGCCACGATAATCAGTTCAGATCAATCGTCTCCTTTTCTCTCTGTTCTACGCATTTCTCTCTAGGGTTTTGCAGAATTCTCATTGATATTTAGAGAGTTTTCCAAAAATGAAGAAAAGGACTGGTCGTTTTCTCCTTTTGGAGGTTTCCATGCCTCCAATGAGTGCAGTCGTTGTGGTTTTGTGTGATTGGTAGAAAGCCCTCTACTCGCAATTCGAAGAGGGCTGGTTTTGTGATGGTGATAGTGCAAACTTGGTACCCTCTACTCGACATCTTCAAACTAAATTGTGGTATGTAGCAAATTTCTTTTATATGTTGCAGAACTGAAAATATTATTCGTGAAATGTGTTGTGAGGGTTTCTAGTGCTGACAATAAACGACAACAATAGTGCTGTTGCTAAAAGTGGTGAACAATTGTGAATATTATTGCTGAAACAGTGGTGAATAGTTGTGAGTGTTTCTGCTGAAACCTGGTACTAGGAACCCTAGTGGTATTCAGTCATTCGTGTGGAGTGTGGTGATTTATTAGGGTAGTAGAGTAACAATTTAGTGGTACAACCTCCCACTGTTTTTTTGTGCAGTCATGGGAGACAACAGTAAATACAAATCAAGTGTGATGGTGCCTTCTGATTATTTGAATGTGTAGATGACTTCTATAAAACTAAATGGTGAGAATTATGTCCCTTGGGCTAAGTCTATTGAAGTTTTCCTGAAAGCCMAAAAGAAAGTGAAACATGTGAGGGAAGATAAACCCTCAATTGATTCTCCAGGATATGATGAATGGGAGTAGGAGGATGCTCAAATTATGACTTGGCTATGGAACATCATGGAGTCCAAAATTAGTGTGAACTTCATGTTTTTAGATACAACCAAGGAAGTCTGGGATCATGCAAGGAAACTATATTATGGACAAGATAACACTACTAGGGTTTACTAACTGTACTGAGAGTACTTCAATCTGCAACAAGGGAATCAGAGTCTTGAGGACTATTATGCCAGTGTGAGAAATTTACGAAATGAGTTGAATGTTTATCATCCTCTTACACTTGATGTCAAAATTCAGCAACAACAAAGAGAGCAGTTGGATGTGACTAGATTTTTAGTAGGGCTGAATTATGAGTATGAACCCATAAGGGCACAGATATTAGGTGGATCTGCTCTTCCCTCTCTTGAGGATGTGTTTGCTCGTCTTCGGAGGATTTCAGTTGGACCCATAGAGACTTCCACTATGTCAGATAGGTCTGAATTTGCAGTTACGAGAGAGGGAGGTCGTGGTGGTAGAGGAGGTCAGCATGGTCGTGGTAGTGGTGGTGGACCCATGTATGGTCGTGTTGGTGGTGGAATGTATAATCGTGGTGGTGGTCGTGTTGGAGGACGAGACTCAGGGGCAGCCCGTGGTAGGGGATGTGGTAATACTCAGAGAAGGTGTACTCATTGTGGTATGGAGGGACAAACTATCAACTTTTGCTACAATCTCCATGGCCCACATTCAACCTGGGCGAATCATGCAGATGTAAATGGTGGTAGCTCAAGACAAGAATCTCAAGTCATTGATAAGATCCCCACTACATCTACAGATACTTCCAGAAAGGAGATGGTGAGTGTTTCACGGGATGAGTATGAGTGGTTCATTCAGGGTACATCTCAACAGAACACAGATACCCTTGCACACACAGGTACGACTTGTCCGGCATCCACATCTTCCCGTTGGATTATAGATTCTGGAGCTTTCGATCATATGACTGGAACTCCAGGTGTGTTTTCATCCATTTCTCCGTCCTCCACTTCCCAATCTGTTACTCTTGCCAATGGCTCTATATCAGCCATATGTGGTGTTGGTAATGTTGACACTGACTCATTATCCCTCTCCTCAGTTTTATATGTTCCCAAGTTTCCCTTTAACCTGATGTCTGTGAGTAAATTGACTCAGTTTCTTAATTGCTCAATAACTTTTTACCCTTCCTCTTGTGTGTTTCAGGATCTCAAGACGGGGATGAAGATTTGTGGAGGGCATGAAGCTGGTGGACTGTATTATCTTGATGGAGGTGGTTCGGCAACAACTCTTCAGTCATCTCTCTCCCCTCATCAGTGGCACTGCAGACTTGGTCATCCGTCTCTTAGAGCTCTTCAGTTATTTGTTCCGTCGTTGCGTCGTCTTTCTAATTTAAATTGTGAGTCGTGTCAGTTTGGGAAACATCATCGTGCCTCCTTTAGTCCTAGAGTTGATAGTCGTACATCAAGTCCTTTTTCTTTAGTCCATTTGGACATCTGGGGTCCAAACAGAGTAGTGTCTTTTAATGGTTACAAGTACTTTGTAATTTTTGTTGATGATTATTCAAGGACGACATGGCTTTACCTTATGAATGAAAAGAGTGAATTTTTTTCTATCTTCCAAAAATTTTATGCTGAAATTCGCAATCAATTTGGTGTAAATATTAAAATTCTTCGTTCTGATAATGGCCGTGAGTATTTTTCCACACACTTTTAAGAATATTTGGAACAACATGGCATTATCCATCAAACCTCATGTACCTACACCCCTCAACAAAATGGGGTGGCTGAAAGAAAAAACCGTCACCTTTTGGAAACTACCCGGTCCCTCTTACATCAGATGAATGTCCCCAAACCCTTTTGGAATGATGTTGTACTCACATCTTGCTTTCTTATTAACCGCATACCCATGTTTATCCTTAAAGGTCAGTCCCCTTTCTCTATTCTGTTTCCCACGTTGTCTCCTTTTCCCCCTACTCCCAGAGTTTTTGGATGTGTGTGTTTTGTTCATAATCTTGGGCCTGGAATGGGCAAGTTAGATGCTAGATCCACTAAGTGTGTCTTTCTTGGCTATTCCAGGACTCAAAAAGGGTATAAGTGTTATAACCCTCGTTCTCGGCATTCTTTTGTGTGTTCTGATGTTACATTTTTTGAGTCTGTTCCTTTCTTCTCCAAGTCGGATACTTCTCCTCTGTTGCCATCACCCCCTCTTCCAGTTCTTATTGAGGATCCTGTTCCTCTTGTTCCGGTCGTGACCCAATCTTTGCCTCCAGTGMAGCTACCTGAGAGAGGACCACCTATCCAGCAAGCGTATACACATCGTCAGGCATCGGCTCCTCCCCTAGCTTCGTCACCGTCGACAGATCCAGCAGTTGATCCCACCTCAACCCCAACTCCAAGTTTTGACCTTGATCTTCCTATTGCTTTGCGGAAAAGTAAACGCAATTGCACTCTCCATCCCATTTCCAATTATGTTTCCGTATCTCACATTTCGGCTTCCCATCGACAGTTTGTTTCTATGTTATCCTTTGTCTCTGTTCCCAAGGATGTCCAGGAAGCCCTCAATTCTCTAGGGTGGCGCCAAGCAATGGAAGAAGAACTATTGGCCCTGACTCGTACTCATACGTGGGACCTCGCTACTCTTTCTCCTGGTAAGCATGTGGCCGGCTGTAAGTGGGTGTACATGGTTAAATACTTACGTGATGGAAGTGTTAAACGGTTGAAAGCTCGGTTAGTTGCCAAAGGTTATTCATAATAAAGGTGCTTTTGATTACACAGGCACCTTCTCTCTGGTTGCCAAAATTGGGTCAGTTTGTGTTTTGATTTCTCTTGCTGCTATGTTTGATTGGCCCTTGTTTCAACTTGACATCAAGAATGCCTTTTTACATGGTGATCTTCTTTAGGAGGTGTACATGGAGCAATCACCAGGGTTTGTTGTTCAGGGGGAGGATGAGAAGGTCTGTAGACTTAAGAAGGCTATTTATGGACTTAAACAATCTCCCCGTGCATGGTTTGGGAGATTTAGTGAAGTGGTGAAGAAGTTTGGAATGAAACAATGTCAAGTTGACCATTCCGTATTCAGCTATGAATCAAATGCTGGGAAGATTCTCTTGGT